CATAAGGAAAGAGAAGTACTAACAATTAAGATCTGAAAAGTGGGATATATGTGATGAGAGGAGATAAATATCTAATTCTCCAGATCATTATGTAAGGAAAAATCCAGAGAAAAAGATCCATAGGAAGGAGACGTAACTCATGTAATAACGACTTATTTAGAGCCGCTGTCTCAAAATTAAAAATCGCTGTGATGATTGCCAACTTTCGACGCGCAGACAGCCCCTTGAGAAGAAGAAGATACAAAAATTCAATAAATGAATCATTTTGTCGTCAATTTCGAATGTTTCCATATTTATAAATTTAATAAACAATATTGTTTACTTTTTATTTTTATTAATATACGGGATTACTCCCTGTGGCTAAGTACGATCCTGGAATCTGTCAGATTCTTATATGAAAGAATAATTATATGAAATATTGCTCGACACATCTAATTCATTATATGACGTCATAATTAATGACGCACTGAAAAGTACCTCTGGGATGTACCTCTGAAAATTTTTAGAACAAGTCTGTAAATAAAGTAAATTCAAAAATCACATCATATTATCTACAAAATAGCAATTTTTCCCAAGATTGAAAATAATCGCAAGAAAACTAAAATTTAACAATACATGCTAAGAAACTCATAACAAAACATAAACAAAAAATTTTAAATCAAAAATCTTTTAGTTTAGAGAAATTCGACTGAAAAAAAATTACATAATACGCAAGTTACGAATATAATAAAAAACGAGATATTGGACTAAGATGTATGAATAAAACTAAAATAAAATGTGTCTCTGGTGCGGGACTATAAGCGAAAGTAGAATAAAATATTAGAAAAGAACTAGTATGTATAAACTAAACTAATAATGTGTCTCTGTTGCGAGACTCTAACCTAATGCAACGGATAAAACAAAAACAAAAAAAAATATCTAAAAAGGTCTTTACGAGAAAAACAATCACAAAATTTCAAAGCAAAAGACTTTTAATTTAGAGTAATTTGACTGGGAGAGATATTAGAAAATAACTAATATGTATAAATAAACCTAAAAATGTGTCTCTGGTGCGGGATGTGTCTGTACTCATAAGAGAAAAAATAACGCAAAATTTCATAAGTCGTTTAGTTTAGAGTAATTCGACAAAGAAAATGTATACAAATTACGAATATAATCGAAGAGAGATTGAATATTATAAAAGAACTACTATGTATGAATAAAACTAAAACTTGTACGTATATACAAATTATGGATGTAATCAAAAATACAACGAGATATTAGAAAAGAACTAATATGTATAAATGAACCTAAAAAAATGTGTCTCTGACGCGAGATTCTAATTTGTTGTAACGAGAGGACGCGAGATAAAACAGAGACAGAAAAATGGTTCCAACAAGAAGGTCTGTTAGAGAAGAAATAAAGCAAAATTTCAAGCAAAAGTCTTTTAGTTGAAGCAAAAATTTAGTTTAGATAATTCGACAGAGAAAATTACATATATACGTATAAACAAATTACAAATATAAGCGAAAATAGAATGAGATATTAGAAAAGAACTAGTATATATGAACTAAACTAAAAAATGTGTCTCTGTTGCAAGACTCTAACCTAATGCAACGGATAAAACAGATACAAAAAAAATATCTAAAAAGGTCTGTACGAAAAAAACAATCACAAAATTTCAAAGCAAAAGACTTTTAATTTAGAGTAATTCCACAGAGAGAGATATTAGAAAAGAACTAATATGTATAAATAAACCTAAAAATGTGTCTCTGATGCGAGATTCTAATCTGTTGCAACGAGATGCGAGATAAAACGGAGACAGAAAAATGTCGAAAGCCAACTTAGAACCATAAACTGTATTGTAATTTTAAACATAAAAGTAAAAAATAATTTATAAAGAATCTTTTACCTATATATTAACTGTAATAAATTTAACAAACTAGGAACTGATTTGTCTTGCTTTGAAACTAGAATAGGTACTAATATTTAAGTAATTCCCGAATTTCCAAATTTATATATAATGTTTTATCCTAACTCGTCAAAACGATCCTACAAAAATTTCTGAACCACGAATCCGAGACTATAAGCCAAGGGTTCATAGAAAAAAGACACTGCCCAGCTGTCTATTTTTATTCGGATGGTATTCAATGACATGTTGGCTAAGGAAGAATTTTTGACAATCATTCCTCTGAATGGGAATACCCGTGGCGAAGATATATATGACGTTTTCTTAAATTTTGTAAAAAACTACGAGCTAACAATATATAAATTAATGTGCATTACAACCGATGGAGCACCAGCAATGACTGGAAACAAAAACGGTTTTGTGGCATTGTGTCGAGCTAATCAAGAATTCCCTTCATTTTTTTCATTCCATTGCATTATACATCAACAAGTTTTGTGTTCAAAAGTTTTAAACACGGAGGAAATTATGGGCATTGCAACAAAAATTGTGAATTCCATCCGTGCACGTAGCTTGCAACGGCGGCTCTTTCAGTTGCAGTTGGAAGATAGGGAGTCAGCTGAACACACTGATTTAGTTCTTCACACGGACGTCAGGTGGTTGGGTCGCGGAAAATTCCTAGAAAGGTTTCAAGAATTATTGCCCGAAATAACAGCTTTTCTAGACGAAAGAGGTGATGACACTCAGATTTTGAAAAACGAAAAATGGCTAAATGATTTGGCATTTTTGACTGACATCACAATGCACTTAAACACCGTTAACTTAGAGCTTCAAGGTAAAGGAAAAACTATTATTGAGACGATTAGCGCAGTAAACGCATTCAAAAGTAAATTGCAACTTATGATAGATCAACTGAAAAGAAAGGATCTGAAACATTTTCCGTCTTTAAAAGCAAGGATTTCTCAGTTGAATTATGATACGTATTAGGCTGAATTATCAAATATTTTGGGACAATTCGAAATGCGTTTTTATGATTGCAGTAAATTGGAAAATATAGCATCATTTATGAGTTATCCTTTTTCAAGTAAAAACATTGAGGAATTAGCTACTGAAATAGCAAGTCAGTTTAATAGGAACTCATATTCTGTTGAAAATGAGTTGGTGCAGATTATATCAGATATACATCTCAAAGCTACAGTATCTGATACAAATTTCTGGCGTTTTATATCTGAAGATAAATATCCGAATGTAAGGCAAATCGCCCTTCAACTGACGGCATTTTTTGGGTCAACTTACTTGTGCGAGTCTGCATTTTCTGAAATGAAGATAATTAAGTCAAAATATCGCAATCGACTAACTGACGATCATATGACATCATGCTTGCGATTAGCACTCAGTGGTTACGTACCATCTTATGAAAAGTATGCTGAGGACATGCAGTGCCACGCTTCAACATCCAAAGCCACTCCTTAGTTAAGTTTAACACCATATGTAACTCTTTTGTTTTGTAACAACAAATAAACTCGCAATTTTGAATAAATATGAGTTTTTTCATTGATATTGTAGAGAAGAACCTAACTAAACCTAACCCAAACCTTGACTAAAATAATTTACCTATATTGTGCAGAAAGCTGATATCTATATATGCTACGGTACGCCCTACCTAGGTAGGTAGGGTGTATCGTGTATGTACGACAACCTTGCATCACACACACTTGCAGTCTCTCACAGTTGATCGTAAGTAGTCTAAAAATATTGAGGTAGATCGCCAGCAGTTCAAGTTTGAGCACCCCTGCTATGGTCGCTTAAACCGGACCCCCCGTAGTTGCCTAAATCGGACCCCTTATTTTTTAAATTTAAAACTTCGCTGTTATTCAACTTCGCACTTCTATAATTTTCAATTTTGTTACAGATTAAAAATCAATTAAATGGGGAAGATCGAACAGAGAAAGTGGAGTCCGTCTAAAATGACTAAGGCCATTGATGCAGTTCGAAATAAGAAGATGGGGTGGAAGAAGGCGAGTAAATATTTTAATGTGCCGAAGACAACGCTGATGAGATTAAGCAAACATAAGTATGGTACGCCTATCGAAGCAGCACAAACAAAAAGAGGCAGACCTACAATATTGGGCAAAAATCTGGAAGACGAGCTAGTCCAATATTGTTGTGCAATGGAAGCATCGTTTTTTGGACTCACTAGAAGTGATTTAAGAAGAATGGTCGCGCAAATGGCCCAGAGAAATGGCATTAATCATCCATTCAAAGAAGAAATAGCTGGTAAAAAGTGGGCCAATCTATTTCTTAACCCTTTAGCGGTTACTGGTTGAATTTTTTAACCACTTATTTTTTCTCCGTGTAGGATTAAGTTCGTAGTCGAAAAATAATCCAGATACCGTCGAGGCACTTGCCGGCAACGATTTCAGGTAAAATATCAACCAGTAGTTAAATCTGGCGTGCTTTATAGTGTATACTCCTACCTCGCCTGCTTCAAGTGGTCGAAAATCTGCCTCTGAACGTCTGCAGTTATCTATTATTTGTTGTTTTGGTGGATCGTGATTGTTGCTCCAGTTATTATCAAAAACAAATTGTGTATAAGTAAAAATAAGGTAAGTATACCTAAATAAATATATAATTATTATGTTCCGAATGTTTTATTTCTTTTTTTATACAATTTGTTCTAGAAATCGGTGAAATAATAAAAATAACCTCACTTTATTTTAAAACAGTGTTTTATACATTTGATTTTTTTTCCAAATTTCACATGATTTTTGTACAATTATTAATGTCACACAGCTCATAAAGGTGGTCTGATGTCATTTTTTAATTTCCTTTATCTAGTACTCATTGCGCTGAGAAAATTTAGGTAACTTTGTTCAGATAAATTGATGAATTTTGGTACCATTTTGAAACGTAAATTATGTACAAAATTGTAATCAGGATAAAAAACCTACTACTGTAAATATTATCCACTAAAATTAGCAATACAGAAGTTACTTTACGTACAAGTGTGTAAAGTAAGAATAGGGTATAAAGTAACTTATGTACTTTTATTCTAAGTGAGCAACATGTAATGCTATAGAAAAATGATAACACTTATTGAACTTTTACATTACAAATGTCTAAAATTAATTTGGACGGAGTTTCAAAACTTGATTCCAATGAGATTTTCAATTGGCTTGAAGGATTTGATGATGAGCAAGCAGAAAATTCGGATGTGGGTGGCAACAGTGACGGGGAAGAACAAGTAGAATTTCATACGAGAACATTGTCTACCCGTAACTCTTTAGGTAATATAGTCAAGAATAAAAGATATTTTTTATTATACAATTTTTTTATATGTCATGTAGATGATCACACTTCGTTGCTATCAACAAGTTCAGAAAATCAGAACGACTGTAATAATTTTAATACCACAGATATATTACGGTCCAAACGAGTACGAAACATAGCAAGTTACTCCGAAAAAGAATCATTTAATGAGTTTGATGATTCCATTCAAAATCCAGATTATGCCCCTCTTCAAGATACTGTTTTGTTGAATGCAGAACTAGTAGATGCAGAAAGCGACTCAGACCAAAAATTGGATGAACCCATTGTTGTGGATAGGAACGCTGAAGAAAAATATATTTTTTCTAAGAAAGCAAGTAATCCCACAATTTTTTCGAATTATATTTTCACTGAAAAACCTGGAAGCAAAACAAATATTTTTGAATATTCGCCGTCTCAGATTTTCGAAAAAAATGATTGGTTTGGATACTTTGGAGTTGATTGTGGAGCAGTCCAATTTATATTCAAACTAGTGTGGAAAGACTTTACACCTAACTCTGGAAGAACCAAAAGCTTTTTTGGGAGAACGATGCCTAAAAGAGAGGAGCCTAATTTTGATAAACTTTACAAAATTAGGCCTCTAAACGATAACGTAAACAATAATTTTAAAAGGTTATTTACGCCTTACCGACATTTAGCTGTCGATGAAAACATGGTTGCTTTCAAGGGCAGAACAACATTAAAACAATATATGCCGAAAAAACCAATCAAACGGGGAATAAAAGTATGGGCCCTTGCTTGTTCCAAGACTGGATATTTGCTTTTATTTCAGATTTATCAAGGAAAACAAGGTACAATGCCAGAGCCTTACCTAGGAGAGAGGGTTGTTTTACAACTAAGTGAGCCTTACTGGTATAAGGGATACAAGGGAAGTTGTAATGGAACTTTTAACAAAAGAAAATCAAGCTGTTTATAAATACACGTGTAATAAGTTTGGTTACAAGTGCTGCTGGTCGTGGAAAGGCCAAATTTTTGCAAGTGTAGGTGGTGCAAAGAAACATATTACCAGCTTGGATATGGGAGATTAAAATTTAGACCAATCAACCTGTGAGTAAAAATATATTTGTTGCTTTGTGGCTATTAACAAAATGTTGAGTTGTGGGGCCAACTGAGTGCTATTTTTGACAAACAAAAACACAAACGTAGAGTTCTAGTTTTCTTTTTAATTAATTGTTTTCTGCTATTGTTATTGTAAAAATAAATGTAAAGTTCTACAAATTTAAATATTATGCCTCTATCTATGAGTATGAAATAATTATTACTATAATATTACATTCATAAATAATTTGTTCCTTGTATTATATATTATGATTACTTTTGGTCATATTAACGTAAGATCACTAACTGCACATTTTATTGAATTCAAAAACTGTGTCCTTTTAAAAAATTTTGATATCTTAGCAGTTAGTGAAACTTGGCTTACAAATTCCATTACCGATAAGGATATAGGTATAGATGGGTATAATGTGATAAGAAGAGATAGAAATGGAATTGGGGGAGGTGTGGCATTTTATATCAAATCTCAAATTAAATATAAAACTCTACAAACAAATAGTAACAATATTGAACACCTTTGCTTAAAATTATTCTTACGTAATAAATCATATGGATTGTGTGTTGCATACAAACCACCTAAATTGAATGTCAGATATTTTGTTGACGAGTTTGAGAATATACTATCTAATATTATACCTTTGGTTGAAACATTATATTGTGCTGGTGACTTTAATGTTAATTTATTAAATACGGATTGTCCTGATACTAAGATTGTCTCTGATTTTTTTGAAACAATGGGATTACATCAAGTCATAGATCAACCGACTAGAATCACATCTAGTACTGCACCCCTTATTGATTATATGTTAACCACTAAACGAAATTCGATTCGTGATATTGCCGTAGAATATGTTGATTTCAGTGACCATGAGTTGTTGATATCCAAAATAAACATAGAAACTAAAAAGAAAGAAGTTGTTTATAAAACTGTCAGAAACTTTAAGGCAATAAATCATACCATATTTTATAAAGAATTACAGTCTCTACCTTGGCGAAATATTTTTGATATTGAGAGTATTGATGATAAAGTTGAATTTCTTACTAATAATATAATATGCTTACTGGATCGTCATGCTCCCTACGTAACTTATAAAATTTCGAAAAATTATGCACCATGGATGACTGATACTTTACGTATTATGAAAAGAGAGAGGGACAAAATACTGAGTACGTACAAAAAATACAAAAACATGCAAACTTGGGAGGAATACAAAACGATTAGAAATATGTTTACTTTAGCTGTCAGAAGAGAAAAAAAAGCCTTTTATTCAAACAAATTGGTTAATAAAAACGGGAGAGATCTTTGGGATTCTTTAAAAATGATAGGTCTTGGTAGAGATACTAATAATACTAAGCAACTATCAGAAAATTTAAGTAATATTTCTGCAATGAATGAATACTTTATAAATTGTATTCCTAATATGAATCCTGATTTAACAATTAACAACTTTTATAATAATAATTTTCGTGTGGACATCGGTGCAAATTTCTCTTGTGTCCAAGAAAGTGACGTTTTAAATGTCATTAAAAGTATCAAGAGTGCTGCTACCGGATGCGACAAAATAAATATACTAACAATTAATATGTGCCTTCCGTTTTTATTACCATATTTGACGCATATTATCAATGTTTGCATTATAAGAGCAGAGTTTCCATTGATGTGGAAAGTTGCTAAAATTGTACCGATACCGAAAACTAATAATCCGACAGGTTTTAATGAAATACGGCCGATTAGTATACTACCTACTTTTTCAAAAATCCTAGAGAAAATTTTAAATCAGCAACTACAGGTTCACTTAGATAAACATAAAATTCTGCCAGAAAATCAGTCCGGTTTCAAAAAGGATCACAGCTGCACTAGTGCCCTTTTAAAAATAACTGATGACATATTTGGTGGTTGCGATAATGGATTAATTACAGTGCTGATTCTTTTGGATTATTCCAAAGCTTTTGATATGCTTGACCATTCTCTGTTGATTTCACTGTTTAAGTATATTGGTATGTCTAAGCAGGCATCTGATATGCTATTCAGTTACCTCAATAATAGAAGTCAAGCTATTCATTACAATGGTAAGACATCAAACTATCTTAAAACAAATAAAGGGGTACCACAGGGCTCTATATTGGGTCCCAAATTATTTAGTATATATACTTCAAACTTTCCTGCTCATTTTCTCTCCTGTAATCAGCACTATTTTGCTGATGACACTCAGATCTACTTATCCTTTAAGCCTGATGAGTTTAAACAGGCAGTGGCTGCAATTAATTATGATTTAGAAAGAGTTTCTCAATTTTCTTCTAGCCATTGTCTTCGGCTTAATAACAATAAATCTGTAGGTATAGTTTTTGGTCCAGTGACACAAAGAGAAATATTTCTGAGAGATTTTGCTCATATGATCACCATTGATAATTCTTCGATAGAATTTAAGGCAACTGTCAAAAACTTAGGCTTACATATAGATCATAACTTAAGATTTGGTGATCATGTGAACAAGTGCTTGCAGAAAAGTTATATAAATTTGAAATTTATATTTCAATCCCGTCATATATTGACCAAAGACTTAAAAAAATTGCTGTGTGATACCTTGGTGTTATCACATTTTAACTATTGCGATTCTATTTATAATTCATGTATTACAAAACGTGATAGTTATCGAATACAAAAAATGCAAAATTCTTGCCTTCGTTTGATACATGGTATCCGCAGAAATCAACCAATAAGTTACAAACTTAAAGAAACAGGTTGGTTAAGTATGAAACTCAGACGACATTTTCATTCAGCTTGTCAATTCCAAAAAATTATTATTTTTAAAACACCACCATATCTCTATAATAAAATAAAATTCCGTACTGATGTACATAATATTAACATCAGACATAAAAACACCATTTCTATCCCTTATCATCGTACACAGAACTATAAGCGATCTTTTTCATATCATATAGCTCAAGTTATGAATAATTATACCACTGCTTTTAATTTTACTCAAAACAAATTTAAAAAGTTCGTTTTTGAGAAATTACTACATATTGCATAGGTAAGGTTTGATAATATAAATAAATATGAGTAGAACTTACATTTAGGGCGCATATTAATTGAATGCTAGATTAATTATTTTTATATTTTCCTACATTTAGTTAACTAAAATTTATTTAATTTACATTTTAATTTTGATTTCGTTTTTATATAAATATTAGTACTTTTAATTGGTTACAATTCTAGATATTTCCTATTATTTGCTTGCCCAGGTTAGCTGAACAGACAGGATGTGTCAGTGCTTCGCACTGTACATTTCCTGAACTGAAACTCGCCTGGAGCTTTTTGAATATTAATTTATGTAAATAATATTATGTTATGAATAAAGGCCTTTATTATTATATATTATTATTATCCCAGATTTAGCCATACGGCTCACACTCCCTCTAAGGGGAAAATTCACTCATCCCAGATACCTACGGTATCAAAAGGATTGAGCTCTGGTGGGACTCTTTCCGTGTTATCGAGCCCTAGGTGACTTGGTATGTCGGAGTATCTCCCAGAAATTTTCGTACACATCTGGAGGTCGCGAGGAGTACAGCTTTCTGCATGGCCTTATAAAGATGTTCATTTAGACCCAGCTGTTTTATGTTCACTAGGAGGTTCTTGGGAATAACACCAGTAGTAGATAGAACAATAGGTACTGTCTGGGTACTTTCCATTCTCCATTGTCTCTTGATTTGTATTTCCAGATCCCTATACTTGGCGATCTTTTCGTTGTATTTAACAAGCAAATTGTTAGTGTTAGGTATCGCCACATCAATAAGTGTTGTTTGCCTGGTAATTTTATTCACTAGTATGAGATCCGGTCTATTATGGGCCACTGGTTGGTCTGTGAGCACAGTGCGGTCCCAGTATAGCTTGTAG